CAGGAACCGGGCTTCCGAAGTCCCAACGCCGCCGCGCGCCGCCGCAGCCAGCATGGTCGAGGGGTCAAGAAGCCGAGGACGGTAGGCTTCGAGTCGCCCGCCTCCCGCTCCCCTCCACCCGGGGGGCGCCGAACCCCCCGGGGCACTGGGATCCCACCCTCCCCGGGAGGAGGCAGCCGCGGCGCGGAGGCTGGGGCGCCAGGGGGAGGAGGAGGAGGAGGGCGGGGAGGAGGGAAGCTGGCGAGCGGGCTCGGCCGGGATTCCCGGGGCAGCCCTCGCCCGCCGGCGCCCCTCCGCCCCGCGCCTCTAGGAACCTCCGCGCTCCGGAGTGGTCACGCCCCGGCCAGACCCCCGGAGCCTGCAGAGTAGGTCCCCGTCAAGAGGAAGGACCACAGCTGGGACGCGTCCTTTCTTCCCAAGAGCTTCTCCAGACCCGCCTTTTCTTCTGTAGGATACCGAGCGGGTGGAGGGCCGAGCCGGCCCGGCTTCTGCCAGGTCTGGCCTCTGGGTGCACGCCAGCGACGGTCATTGGAACTTTGTCCATTGACCCTTCTTGGACTCCAATGACGGACTTTCATAGAGGAAGCGGCAATTATCTAGACTTGCTGGAGGAAATTGCTCCTCTACACTGGCAGGATTTAACCCTTAGCTTAAGTCAGCTCCCTGTTGGCTCTGGTGGCACCTCAAGTTCAGTCATGGGAGACTCCTCGCCTTGGAGTAAGATGAGGGGATTGTCTTGAGGAGGCTCCGTTTTATCCAGAATTAATCCAGGACATCGCTTTTATGGGAAACAGAGGGCTTGCCAAAGACAAAGGTTCCTTTTCCACTTAGCGATAGGGACTTCTGTAAATTTCACATCCTTAAATATGGAAGCAGTAATCATAGACTCAAGGAGCCCTGTAGACAGCGTTTGGACCACACCCGAGGTGGTCGGCAAGCCTTAAGATCCCAGCCAGCAGTCTGACTGCTGGGCACTCATCTTTAGCTACCACACTGCAAGCCTCAGGTGATGGTGGGGGTAGCTCAATGGACTGACTTCTCTTAAATAGTTAAACTTGTGCTTGGCACATAGTAGGTGCTCAATAAATATTCATTACTGTAAGTAGTAGTAATGTATCATTAATGTAATATATCAGTAATGTATAATCGTATCATTACTATCCTATACAACAAAAGCCTAATATGCTAAGTGTCCAGTCATCTGGTTGGCCGTTCAACCAAAGTGTAATATGCAAATGATATGCTAAGGCCGCTCAACCGCTTGCTATGACATGCACTGACCACCAGGGGGTAGACACTCCGACCAGTAGGTTAGCTTGCTGCTGAGATCCAGCCGATCAGGACTGAGTGAGATGGGCCGGATACACCCTGGAGCCCTCCCACAGTTCGTCCCGGCTGGCCAAGCTCCCATATCCCTCCCCAGCTGCGATCGTGCATTGGTGGGGTCTTTTGGCCTGGCCTGTGCCCTCTCACAATCCAGGACCCCTCGGGGGATGTCGGAGAGCCGGTTTTTGCCTGATGGCGGAACCACCGGTCACTATGATGTGCACTGACCACCAGGGGGCAGATGCTCAACACAGGAACTGCCCCCTGGTGGTCTGTATGCTCCCACAGGGGGAGTGTTGCTCACTGCTGGCGCAGTGGCGGTGGTGGGAGCCTCTTCCGCCTCTGTGGCAGTGCTAAGGATGTCCGACTCCTGTGGGGAGCCAGCCTAAGTCATCAGTTGGGCATTCCCCGAGGGCTCCCAGACTGTGAGAGGGCGCAGACCAGCCTGAGGGACCCCTTCCTCAGTGCACAAATTTCGTGCACCAGGCCTCTAGCTAGTATTATATAATGCTTATTACTGAAATATCTTTAAGGAGTATTTGTGATGGGTTGGAGGAGCAATGGAAAATCAAGAATTGGGGAAGGAGAGTGAAGGGGCCATGCAGGGGCTAGAAGTGTGGGCTTGAGCAGTAAGGTAAAGGGGGCCCTGTGGTTTCAAGGGACCACACTGGGCCAGCAAAGGAGGGGCCAGGAGGGAGGTGGCATCCATGTGAAAAGGGAGAATGGTCAGGATCTATCTGCCTTTATAGGAATGATTTTTATTTTAAAGTGGGGAGACTCTCAGTATTGTATATATTTTAAAATAGTGTCAAGTGAAAATCACTTGTGTTTTAGGCCTATTTAATTTGATTAATTTCTATAAAATTCTAAATGGTACCTTCTAAATGACAAGCTACTGTGGCATTTAGTAGCCTTTTTATGTCAGTGGAGTTTTAAAGCTTTCTCCCTGCTTGCATCAAGAATTCCTTCGCAGTTCTGCTGGGGGTGGGAGGGCTTTTTCAAGCATTAGGAGTGAAGGGGCCCTGGTCTTTCCTCTTCATGCCTCTGGTTAGCAAGAACCCGTGAAGTGGAGGGTTTGAGAACAGGGCTTTACAAGCTGATAGTGGGAACTGCAGAGTCAAATTTTCAGAGAGAATTTGAGGGCTGGAGGGTTTGGGTTGTGTATTTACACATTTTGAGCCTTCTAGCTTTTGTTTCGGTGGTGTGTGTTGGGGGAGGTCTTTCTATAATCAAATTAACACCTGATATAGCTAACAGGACTTGTGAACTTTGATTTCGAGAACACAGTTATAATCCAGGCACCAGCACAAGTTCCCAGAAGGACCAGGTAGATACTCTTGGGTAGAGCAAGCCAGCTATAAATGTCTATGAAATCTCTGAAGCTTTAAATGTTCATTCAAAATGTATTTTGAAACCTTGCAGGCCAAACACAAATCTGTCCACCTGTGTGATTTCTCAACTAATTAATTATTTGACAGGTGAATCTTGCTGATATAGGAGGCTATCTTAAAAGTGAGGAAGCTTTGCATTATTTTCTGCATTACCAGCAGAGGACACACTACAGTCACTGCAGTAACTTCAACTATTTGTTGAGTCCCTACTGTGTGCTAGGCAGTACACTGGGGTGAATACATCTTTCCCAGGATTTTCTGTCACGTTGATGAATATAGCCTTTCAATCCAGACCACTGTGAGAAGAGTAAGTACGTAGTTTTGGTTTAAATAAGAGAAAGTAGGATGATTTTCTCACAAGCTTGAGAAAAAGAAAAAGAGACATGATCTTTTATAAGGGAAGGTGGCACATTCCTTTTTTGGAAACCTAGGACACCTATATGTCACATCCCTTCCTACCCCCCTTGACTTACCTCCAACACTGGCTACCCCCACACCCCTTTCACACACACATAAATCTAGGAGAAGGAAGGAGGCAGACTACTTCCAGAAGACTGGAAAGAAAGGCAAAGTCCTGGTCCTTTCTTCTTGCATCATTTCCTGGATTAGCATTTTCCAAGGCTGACAGACAGTTACTCAAAAGGTCAATAAGGTATTAAAATATTTTCCAAAGGATCAAACAAGCCAGTGGTTGGGAAGGAAGTGAAGGGGTATTGACAGTGTAACAGTCTTCATAAATGCAACAGATTGTCTAGCTCAGTGGTCGGCAAACTCATTAGTCAACAGAGCCAAATATCAACAGTACAATGATTGAAATTTCTTTTGAGAGCCAAATTTTTAAAACTTAAACTGTATAGGTAGGTACATTGTTGTTAACTTAATTAGGGTACTCCTAAGGCTTAGGAAGAGCCACACTCAAGGGGCCAAAGAGCCGCATGTGGCTCGCGAGCTGCAGTTTGCCGACCACTGGTCTAGCTAGGTGAAGATGCTGCCTAAGGCAAGACATGAATTTCATGATGAGTAACCATTGCAGCTTCCTAGAGGCCAGGTACTCAGCCGCACTGTATTTCATTTCATCCCCAGAGCAGCCTTCACCCAGGAAACTGAGCCTTATCTTTTAGGGAGGAGAAATGACAAAAGCAGGACAGGATTTGAATTCAGATCTGTCCAAGTTGGAGCACAGAATGGGAGTAACAATGACTTACCCCTTACAATTGTTCTCAGGAGTAAATAACTCCTAAAAAGTGTCTTGTACAGTTCCAGGCCCAGAGTAAGTAGCTATTGTTATTATTATTATTATTACACTGCTGTGGTCTGGCAAACAAGGAGAAGAAAGCACAAGTCATACCATTCTGAAGGCTCAGTAAATGACAGCCACCAGAATATTTATATAATAAAAGCCTAATATGCAAATTGTCCCCTTGACCAGGAGTTTGACCAGAAGTTCGACCAAAGGGTGAGGCCACCAACTGCCCTCGGCCCCTCCTCCCAGCTGGCTCCACCCCCAATCAGCCCTTCCCCCAATCGGGGGCGGGGCCAGCCGGCCACCGCAGGAAGGGAGGCCCTGACCAGCAGCGGACAGCTGCTAGGGACCCTTACCCGTGCACGAATTTCATGCACTGGGACTCTAGTATATAATAAGAGTAAGGAAATGTTGAAGTGTAGAGGCTATTTAAATCCTTATTGTGAAAAGCTAGACAGGAGACAAAGGTTGATAATTAGTGTAAAAATGCACCAGAGTAACCCAAATATTAGCAAGACTTTGTCAACCACCTTGGCCAAGAAAGGCAATCTATGTATAAGTAAATTATGGACTAAATTCTTTCCACCCTTCTTATGCCTTCAGCTGTTTCCAGTTCTACCTTAAAATTAATGTCCAATTCATGGTTTTCTCTAAAGATCATCTGTTTGGACTTTTACAGGTAAAGATAGATGTACTTAACTCCGAGTTCAATGTCTCTGAGGTAATTTTCCTTGTCTTTCATCACTTTTTTGCTTCTGCACGTGGCTCTGTGGTTTGCTTAGGGGATAATTAGGCTTAACGCGAACATGGAACCTTTAGGGACTGAAAGTCTGGGAAAGGAATCAACAGTGTCAATCTCAGTCCTTGGAGATTACTGTGCGTTTCAAAATCTATCACTAAATAATGGACACTCACGGGTTCTTGTGTTTGGAAGTCTTAGGAAAACACAGAAAGGAACAGTAAATACATAAACATAATGGCAGTTCAACTAACCTTTCATCCCTGGGTGATTTGTTCATATGACAGCTGAAATGGCATATACGCCCAGCAGCCTGGCGTAGAGCCCGGCACAGAGTAGGTGCTCAATAAATATTAGTTGCATAAGTGGCTACAGAATTCATTAGAGAATGAATTTGCTTTGGGATCTAGATTTTTTTTTGATCCCCCTCCCCCAGACCACTCCCCCATCCCTGTTATCTGTCTGTTCTTGTGGGCTTGCTTATTATTGCCTGGGTATTTGTCATTACCACTGAAAAATTACTCAGGGATTTTTCCGAGGCTTAGGATGAATGGCCTCCCGCACCCCCCTCTCCCATTTGCTTTTGTTTCTGCCAGGTGCCTGGTGGCATTACTAGTCTGGGACCACTTTAGCCCACTACAAGTTTTTTAGACCACCCAGGGGACGTAAATTTGACTTGCAATGTTGCACACAAGGGACAGCCCTTGTATACAACATCTGGGGGACCCCACCTCCCCACGTGTACTTTCATTGCCAAGGCACCTGCCCTTGCAGCCTTTCAGAGTGGGCGGTGGGTTTATTCTGGTTCACTCTTATTTGTAGGGAGTGACTCTTAGGACCCTCCGTGTAAGGAAGGCCTTTTTATTCGCCCCACTTGGTGGGTTCTGGGCTCTGATTAGTTCCACCTCCCCGTGAGGCTGTCCATCAGCTCGGATCCGCCCCCTACCAGGATACAAGTGCCTCCCTGCTTGCTTACCTCTCAGGTTCCTGCTTTTCTGCAGCATTTGGCCTGGCAGTTTCTTGCTGTCTTGTCAGCTCTTAGAATTCGTTGTTTAAGACAGGAATACCGTATTCAGACCCATCAGAGAAGTGGACAGATTGGGTCTGTAACAAAGCATTGTGTTTTAAAGCCTAGGCCAGTAATTGTATGTGAAAGTGTACACTGCTGCATACAAATTAACTGATTAGACCACAACTTTTCAATGTTTAAAAAAAATAAGCTTCCCTGTAAAAGCAGCACCGTTGTGGCATTTTAACTTTAGGACTCCTCTCCTCCTCCCTCAGCTCTTTGATGTTTTTCATGAGATGATTTTATATTATAACCACACATTTTTTATTTGTTTTTATGGAAGGATCGGTGTGTATAAACTAGGCAGGAATCTCAGCCTCATCTCGATTCCTAT